TGGAAAGCAAGATATGGCTTTCTTTTTATTATCTTAAACATTTTTTAAAAAATTATGTTACCCCTTTTAAATAGCTCAAAGAGTGTATAAGTCGGTCACTGAAATAATCCTGTTTTATTTTCTATTCCCCTCCCCTTCAGCTTTTTAAAACAATTTTTTTAAAGTTTGCAAGTGCCTTGGGGCAGGGACCTCTTTTCCTCTCACGGACATGCTGTGCTGTTCTCTGATTTTGGTTTCATTGGATTTACCTGTTTGGTTTTTTCATTTGGAGGTAAATGTATTCTGAATACAACGGGACGAGCTCCTGAAAGCCCGTTTTAGGACTGCAGCCTTCCTAGACCACCTCATGAGGTCTAGAAACTTGGGCTTTGTGTTGTCATTACATGTTGTCAAGTTTCTCCGGATTTATAAATCAAAGGGTGGCCTTCAGACCGTCCTCAGCAGGCCAGGCGTTCTTTTTCTGAATCAAGGAAATCCACCACCTCCTGCCCCTGTGGATACTCTTTCTGTAGCTAAGCATTTAAAAAGGGTAGATCACGATCTACAGCGTGGATACTCTTTCTGTAGCTAAGCATTTACAGAGTATGTTGTCAAGCTAAAATTAGAACCTTCACTTCCTAAATAACCCTAATTAAGCATCTAGCAGGGCAGCCTCATTCATACAACCCTTTCAGCAATATCTTGGCGTAAAGGAAAATGGGTGCAAGTATCGGTTTGACATTTTATTTGCTGGTTGTTGTTGTTGTTTGCATCAGGACTAAAAGTTTGAGCATCCCCTTTCCTCTTCTGAATTGTGTGGGTGTCTCTTTCTTTGAGTGCTTGGGCACACCGGCCTTGTTGTGTTGCATTTTGGACAAAATCGGATTTGTTTGTGGCCGTGGGAAGGATTTGAACTCAAAGCATATATGTTTAAATCTCTGCCAGGCAGAAACTCACCAGGTGACCAAAGAGCTAGGAATATTGGCAGCTTTCTTCTATAATGGGTTTGAGGATTGTTCTGCTTAATCCTGTTGCAAGTTCTGAATTTTTGGTTATTATATCCCTTTCGCTGCTCAGCAAAAGGGCAGAGATTTACAGAGCAGAATAGGCTCAAAGTCCCCCCCCCCCGACTCATCCATCCCTTTTCTCACTAACTGGCACTTACAGTCTCAATAAATCACTCGGAGACCTCAGCCGTAGGAAGAATAAAAGGCTTCAGTAGCAGAAAGGATAAAAGGTTTTGTTACTTTCAGCTGAACAGATAAAAACGGCAAACTGACCCACACGACTGCTTTCAGCAACAGATTCTAGTGAGCAGAGAAGCGGGCTTCTCTTTGGATTCAGAGGCAGGGAAGGAATGACAGGTCGGTGCTGGATAGATTGACAGCCACCCCCCACCCCCAGAAAAAGTCCCTCCCAGCCACACCTACCGCAGGCAGCCTGCGAGGTTGCAAAAATGGCAACAAACATTAGTTCTGGAATGGCAGCTGTGGCTTTCCATTTGAACCCGGTACCTTGGCGGTGAAGCCCTAGAGAGATGCCGCCAGCTGGCATTGGCCGCTTGATCCATGAGAACACCCGCTTCCTGTGCTGCAAACTTTTTGTGCGGCTCAATTGTATCTCTCCGTGTTGGGCCCAGATCTGGAAAATGGGTGCATTTTGACAGCCTTCTTCAAACCTTTTTTTTCCTGCCTTCCGGACGAACGCTTGAACCTTTTCGGACAGGCGAGCCCCTCCATTCCCAGCCAAGGGTGGAGATTCTGGTGTGAAGGGGAATGCGATGGAATGTGATGGAACGAGGCTCGGCTGGCAGGTGCCCCGAACAGGAAGACTCTGGGTGACACTGTTTTTTTACCGGTTGTCGTTCCGTCGCCAGCCGAGAAACAGTTGCACAATTGCCCCGAGGGGTGGGCTGCAGCCTGCGAGGTTGCAAAAATGGCAACAAACATTAGTTCTGGAATGGCAGCTGTGGCTTTCCATTTGAACCCGGTACCTTGGCGGTGAAGCCCTAGAGAGATGCCGCCAGCTGGCATTGGCCGCTTGATCCATGAGAACACCCGCTTCCTGTGCTGCAAACTTTTTGTGCGGCTCAATTGTATCTCTCCGTGTTGGGCCCAGATCTGGAAAATGGGTGCATTTTGACAGCCTTCTTCAAACCTTTTTTTTCCTGCCTTCCGGACGAACGCTTGAACCTTTTCGGACAGGCGAGCCCCTCCATTCTTAGCCAAGGGTGGAGATTCTGGTGTGAAGGGGAATGTGATGGAATGTGATGGAACGAGGCTCGGCTGGCAGGTGCCCCGAACAGGAAGACTCCGGGTGACACTGTTTTCTTACCGGTCATCGTTCTGTCGCCAGCTGAGAAACAGTTGCACAATTGCCCCCGAGGGGTGGGTCGTTTATTTATTTACGTATTTCAGCGGAATGCGAGGAGATGGGTCTGAGGATTAGACTGCTTTTTCTCCTTTCTTTCCGCTTTATTCTGGAAACCGCAGCCTCCCACATGCATAACTCTAATCATGTCCTGGCCAGGGTTTCCCAGATAAGGAACACACAAAAGTCGTTCGTCCTTCCCTTCCTCTAGGGGGCGCCCTGAGATTCGGCGGCTTTTGTCCAAGGCCACCCAGGCTGGCTTTTCTCCCAGGAGGCCCTGTGGGGATTCGAACTCCCAACCTCCGCGGCCAGGTTCCTCACTCACTGAGGGAGCGATCCAGCCCGCTGATGCATAGCAAGAGCCAGCAGCGAAAAGGTTAAATCCTGGGCTCCATAATACCTATAAATCAGCCACCTACCCTACTCTGCTTCTTTCACCTCACAGGATTTTTTAAATGGCTGTTTATTTTTCAGCCAAGGGCAATTTCCTTTCATTCTGTTTAGAAATGATTAACTAGCAGGGAGGCTGGAAGGCTGCAGGGGAGGAAAAAGAGAGAAGGCAGTAGGGCTTTTTATTCATTATTTATTCATTCCTCCCCCTGTTCCCCTTGCCTTGGGCACCGCTTGTTAAAATGAAGAATAGGCCGTTCAGAAACAGTCAGAAGAAATGCTTTCGAAACACAGGCTTTTATGGAGGCCCCAGGGTTAAGGTATGGCTACGATTTTCTTTCCGTGACTAACGCGCGTGGTTCCCTGAAGCTGTATTGGAAACAAATAAACAAAAAAAGCTCATGAGGACTACCACCACACAGAACCACCCACATAAAAATGCAGCAAGCGCCTCCACCCGGGCCCACGTGTTGGAGCCGGCACTGCTGTTAGACCAGGGGTCAGGGAACTTTTTTACCTTTTACCCCCCCCAAAAAAATTTATATACGCCGACATTACCCCCTTGATTCGAAAGGAAGGAAATTGTACATTATTTAAATTAAAAATATTATTGAATCTACACAGGCTGTGTACCGAACTAGCAGGATGCACCAAATTTGATAAAGATGTGCACTATTTTTGCTGGAACACATTGCACTCCAGCCATGGTGTGGTATAGGGAGTAGTAAGGTGTCCAACGTGCCTAGCAAGTTGCATTAAATTTTTGCTAGCTCGCAGAGGATTTAATCATCATCAATGGCTGCCAGAGTGGTGCTAGCAATGACATCCTTGCTAGAGACAGCCAACGCAGAGTTGGGGGGGGGGGCTTTTGCTACCACTTTAATCGTTCTGTGTGTGGTGTGCAAAAAAGGAACAAACCAGGCTAAAGGCCATGTCACCCACCCTGGTGCCACAGCCCAAAATCAAAGGACCAGTGCGCTAATGAGGGTGAAAGAGGAGAGCGCAAAAAATGGTCTGAAGCTCAACATCAAAAAAACTAAGATCATGGCCGCTGGTCTCATCACCTCCTGGCAAATAGTAGGGGCAGATATGGAGGTAGTGACAGAGTTTATCTTCTTGGGCTCCATGATCACTGCAGAGGGTGACAGCAGCCACGAAATTCAAAGATGCCTGCTTCTTGGGAGGAAAGCAATGATAAACCTAGATAGCACCTTAAAAAGCCACCTCTCCCCCTGCCTTAATTCAAGGTTTCTCTTTTACTTCACTCTCTCTCTCTCTCTCTCTCTCTCTGTAGATCATGATCTACCCCTTTTAAATGCTTAGCTACAGATAGAGTATCCACAGGGGCAGGAGGTGGTGGATTTCCTTGATTCAGAAAAAGAACGCCTGGCCTGCGCTGGGCTGCTGAGGACGGTCTGAAGGTCACCCATTTCCCGGCAAAAAAAATACCAAAAAACAAAAAAAACCAGGAATTTTTGAGGAACTGGGATTTTTGAGGAACTTGCACCCTCTAGTGTTGGAAAATATATACATTTAAAAATAGTTTCGACGACATGTGTGGAAGGCCGGATTCCTCAGACCCGGACAGAATTGTTCTCTAGAGTGAGTGCATGGCCGTGTGTGAAGCCCCAGGGTGCTGGGTGCAAAAGGGAGATGGAAAAGTTGCTCTTTGGGACTACAATGCCCATCTGGCATCGCCATGGTCAGTGTGGGCTGTGATTATTGAGGAGTTTGTAGCCTGAGGAAAGCAAAACTCTTTCTAGATCAGCCTGACATGATCTGAGGGCCTCTGGATGAGGTGAACTGCCAGCCAGGCCATATTGGCTTAGCCCTTCCCAAGACGGCCAGAGAGAAAGCTGGAAAATCCTCAGTCCTTCCTTCTCAGGAGTCAACCCTGTTCATCTTTGCCCATTCCTGGCTGCCCTCCAGCTACCATACCACCAAGGACTTAAGAAAATCAGAACATTCCAAACTTGAGTCTGAGTTTTCCTCTTCCCTCTTCATCCCTTCTTCCTCTTGTGCCATGTCTTTTTTTTTCCTTATTGGAACCCTGAAGGCAAAAAAACCCCTGTGTTGGCTTTTTATACCTGATTTGTAAACGGCTCTGAGAGCCTTATCATCTGAGATGGGCTAGCCAAATAAGCTGAGTGTGAAAAGAAAGAAAGAAAGAAAGAAAGAAAGAAAGAAAAGCTTCCTATATGCAATAATGTTTTTTTTGCATAGATATGGGTCTTTATTTGTACTTTCCCCCTTTTTTTCAGTACAGGAAGCAGTGACCCCTACTGTATTGTAAGGATCGACAATGAAGCAATTATCAGGTAAACAAGAAACACTTCCATCTCTGATATTTGTCTATACTTCCTCCCACCCTGAGCAGGAGGGCTGGCCTACAATGGGGACTGCATCCAAAAACAGTTTTTTTGGGGGGAATTGCCCCATGTTTGGGGATGGTAATGGAAATGTTGCATCTCCAGGCCAACATGCTGACTCAGTTTTGCGTAGGGGAGCATATTGTGGATGGCTTGGATCCGCTACGGGTTTCGGTCCGAACTTTAGAGGTGCTGAATGCTTATCCCAAAAAGAGCCTCAGCAGTGCCTTGGGTAGTTTACATCAAGTTTGGCCTAAAAGCCACAACGGATTCACCGCCCCTGTGAAACTGAGTCAGCCCCTTCTGCCCAAGAACAGAATGGGCCCATGGACTCGTGAGGCACATGAAGAAAGCAGAAATCCTGTCTTTGAGGGAACAAGGTCTGTCTCATTTTCCAAAGGATGGCAAGAATCCAACTAGCTATTTATGCTTGCCTAAGAGAGATAGTCTCGGTTGCGGTGGCCAATTATTGCTCATAAACAAGGCGCTGGTTGCGTGCCTGGCCGGGCACATACCCAGGAGCGCAACCCACACCTCGTTACTTAACGTGCAGCAGTTGGCCAGCAAGACTAGTGCAATTCCCCTTACGTAAACGGAAAGGGCAAGTCGGATTGTGGCCGAGGACTTTCATACGATCTTGCCAAGGTTGCCTTGAAATATGGTGCTGGAGGAGAGCTTTGGGGATGCCCTGGACAGCCAGAAAGAGAAGCAAGGGGATCCTCACTTTGGGGATGCCCTGGACGGCCAGAAAGAGAAGCAAGGGGGTCCTCAAGCAAACCAAGCCTGAACTCTCTCTGGAGGCAAACCTTTTGAAACTGAGGCTGTCCTGGACCAAGCCTGAACTCTCTCTGGAGGCAAACTTTTTGAAACTGAGGCTGTCCTGCTTTGGGAAGGCAGGATTGTCTGGAAAAGACCATCAAGCTGGGGAAGGCGGAAGGCAGCAGGAAAAGAGGAAGACCCTGATATGAGACAGACGGCAGGAAAAGAGGAAGACCCCAATATGAGACAGACTTACTCCCTCAAGGAAGCCACAGGGTTGAGAGCTGAGCAGGGCCGTTGAGGAGAGGACATGTCGGAGATCGCTCATTCCTAGGTTCGCCATAAGTCAGGGGCAACGTGATGGCACATAACCACAATGGGAATCATGCATCTGGGTCCTTTGTAGTCAGTCTTGTGAGCTTGAATTTGCAACCCATGGACAGCCCCAAAACATTGTAAAATGGACTGGCTGGCTTTTTAGGATCCCGCAGGTGAACAGGGGTTTTGCTGATTGTTAGGAAATGGGAAGCGGCCTTCCCACCCCACTTGCCGGGTCTTGAAAGTAGCACACAGGTATTTACGAAATGGACGCATTAAAATGGATGCCGGAGGGGCCACCGCCGAGAAGGCTCTGCTTAAGCTAAGATGATGCGGCTGTCAAAGAAATCCCTGTATTTTCCATTGCTGTTTCCTAAGATGGTGAATTAGATGTGATCATCCACCTTTCCTCCTGCAGGACAGCCACCGTGTGGAAAACCCTGTTTCCTTTCTGGGGTGAAGAATACGAGGTCCATCTGCCCCCTACCTTCCACTGCGTGTCCTTCTACGTGATGGATGAAGATGCCTTAAGGTACTCTGGTGTTTCCAGGGAAGGGACCTTCCCTCTTTCTTGGGTTTTTTGGAAACTCAGGGCCTTCTGTCATGGAGTTTCACTGGCCAGTGTTTCTGCTTCACAGTATTTTCAGCTTGCTGTGTGAATCCCGCTCTGTTGCCCATTTGATGTAAACAAGGGTGATCTGCAATAAATTGTTGCAGCGTGGAACACCCCTGCATTCTCTTCTTAATTAATCCTGACGGGCGGTCAGTATTTCATGATGATAGCTCACGCCCGGCTTCATGGGTCTGTTTGTAGATGTCTCTCGTAAGATCTCCCCTGACAGAAAAATTTTTTGTTGGGGGGTGTGTGCTATTCCTGCAGATCTTTGATGAACTTCTCTCAGGTATGGGGATGTGTGGCATTTTTCCCTCAAGATGAACTTCCCTCCAGCATGCGTGGCATTCATGCCACCCGAGGAGGCATGGCAGAGGACGGAGGTTGCTTTTGCGGTAGAACAAAAGGGATGAATGTGTGGCGCTCTAAAATAGCGTTTGACTCCAAGTCCCATCCTCCTCATTCAGGATGACCAGTGGTCAAGGAAGATGGGGCTTGTAATTCTCCATAGGAAAGGCCGCACTGTAGGCAGCTGATCTTGGGGGCAGTGAATCTGCCCCAGGTTGAAGTCTGAACATTTAGGACACTCTCCAAGGTGCTGAATGTGTTTAGAATTAGCACCCAGAATAGCTGATGTCAAGTTTGGACTAAAACTACGGAACGTCATAGTCATTGGTCTTAAAGAGGCCACGAGACTCTGGTTTTTTTTGGCTGTTAGTTCTGCGTGCTTACAGTAAGACTTCAGTATCCACAGGGTATCTGTTCCCAGCTCTGCCGTGGATGCCAGAAACCGCCGATATAGTGAACCCAACATGCACGTATTGCTGGGATTTTTTATTTATTATTTTCAAGCAGCGTCTAAATGAAACCGGGGGTAACTGATCCCGTGGATACAGCAGTCCTGCTGTCCTTTAAATTCTGGTTGTTGCTGAAATGGGATGGCACTAGTCTTGCTGAAATGCCCACTACGAGCTGAATACAGAGTTGAAATGGTTTGTATCTTACTCCCTATTCTATGATTCTGTGACTCGTCTTTTCATGGTTGCTGCTGGATTTTATCGCTGGGGGAGAGGAGGTAGGTAGAAAAATTTCCTCGTGTGTGTGTGTGTGCGTGCGTGCGTGCGTGCGTGTGCGTGTGCGTGCGCGTATGAGCCTTTGCTTTTGCTGACCTTGTTGAAAGGGAACGAGAATTCCTTGTCGTAGCCCGCCAGAAGGGAGATGGTATTAAATCTTTGCAGCCCATATGCCATTCATCAAAATTAAACGTTTTTTTTCTGCTTTAGGTCCAATTCGGCCTGGGCTTAAGATGTCATTTTGATGATGATGCACCAATTCATCTTATTTTGTGTTTCTGTTCCCCCCCCATCTCATCTTAGCCGGGATGACGTCATTGGGAAGGTTCACCTCACCCAGAGCCTCTTGGCTGAACATCCCAAAGGTGAGCTTAGCCCCTCTGTCATTTCCTGTCTCTCACTTTTTGGAGCGAGTAAAGGGGTCTTCCTGGTGGAGCATTTGTGCCTTGACAGTTTCCTTTCTCTTCTGTTGCTCTGTGACAAAGTTCATGGGCCTTCCTGGAAACCGAATCCTGATGATGGATGCTCTAGCGCTATATCACTTCTCTGCTTTAGCAGAGCTTTCTCATTATGCTTCCTGACGATGCTTCCTGATGAAAAGATGGTCTAGCTCTCTGGATGGCCTAGTCTTCCTTTGCTTCCTAATGATGGATGCTCTAGCGCTAAACCACTTCTCTGCGTCAGCAAAGCTTCCTGACGATGCTTCCTGATAATTGATGGTCTATCGCTCTGGATGGTCTAGCATGAAACCACTTTTTTGCTTTAGCAAAGCTTCCTGGTGTTGCTTCCTGATGATAGTGTAGTGTTCAGAATGGATGGATGATGCTCTAGCGCCGTGTTGCTTCCTGATGATAGTGTAGTGTTCCAGGATGGATGATGCTCTAGCGCTAAACCCTTCTTGTCTGCCTTTTTGTTTTCTTTTTTAGATTTAGATTGATACACTTTCAATGATGAACGCCTTAAAAAGAGTATGGTTCACTGCCAGTCCATCACATCAAGGACTGTCCTTTCTAAAAAACAACAACACACACACATAGACCCATCATAACCCACAAGGTGTTCTCAAGTGGGAACAGAAAAACTGGCAGGGGGCGGTGACTTGAGGACAAGAGAGGAACATGTTAGAGGGGTGTGGCTTACTTTGAGATGTTGAGTGACCAGAGAGGTTCTTCTTGAGAAAGCTTTCCATCCTCTTTGTGGCTTTTTTGGAGCGATTTCAAAAATAAAAATAAAAATGCCAAGACTTCATTGCAAACTCAAAAGACCGTGGCTTTTGTTGCCTTCAGACTGCGGCCACTCCAGTTTCCCTCTTGGAAAAATCTTTATTCTCCTGTTTTCTCTTCCCAGGTTTTAGCGGCTGGATGAACCTCACGGAGATCGATCCGGATGAGGAGGTCCAGGGAGAAATCCACCTCCAGATGGAAACGGTGGCCAGCGGTCATGGGAAGAAGCTGCGGTGCACGGTATTTGATGCTAGGTAACGTCAGACTGCTCAACATAAGTTCAGATGGCCTGAAAAAAGAAGGAAAGGAGGAACAAGAGAGATGAGGCCGAAAGGAATATGTATGTGAGAGACACCAAACTGAGAAGAGTCCAGTCTAGACCAGTGGTCCTCAACCTTGGATCTCCAGATGTTCTTGGACTGCAACTCCCAGATGCCTTCACCCCTGGCTGTGGCTGGCCAGGATTTCTGGGACTTGTAGGCCAAGGAGACAAGGTTGGGAACCCCCAGCTTAGACAATCTTGGTCTCTCTGTAGAACCTTTTGAGAAAAGTCCTGTTGGATCCGGCAGAGGTTTTCATGGGGTACCTCCTCCTTTCTCTGTGACTATGTAGGGCCATGGGAAGCCGTCCCCCTTGGTTCACCCTCTTCCCCGAGCCAGTGCTCACGTGGAGATGGACAGCTGCTCAATGCAGAAGTTTAGAGGCACAGAGCCATCCCTAAGGCAGGGTGACCAGGGCATTGGCCCTCGGGGCCGACATCTGAGAGCGCAAACAGTTGCACCCTGAAGGAACCACACTTGCCTGTGTGTATTGGCTGAGCATATTTCCTGCATCCACCCGCTCTGCCCCAGGCAGAAAGAAATGTGAAATAGTCTCCACGTGGAAACAGTAGGACTGCCATGCACTCAAATCAGGTGTTGCTCCATATTCTTGGTGTGTACAGTAGGACTCCCCTATCCACAGGATCAGTATCTGCTGATTAATTTACCCAGTGGCTAACCCCCCCAGAAATATAGATTTCCAGGGTGTATTTACCAGAACTGTACACTAGAGGGGGCCAGAGACAGTGTAATGCAGGGGTGGGCAATTAATTTCTATTGGGGGGGGCACATGAAAAATCCGAACCGTGTTCGGGGGCCGAACCAACTTTCCTTTAAAAATAAAATGAAACAGTGATGTTATGATTGTTTTTATTTTAATTTTTTTTCATCTTCACAAATACTCAAAATGAAACTTGCAGTATGTTAAAGATAAGCAACTGATTAACTTTAGACTAACTTTAGACAAAAAGGTATAAATGGTTTTGATGTTCAAAACTGTCCGCGGGCTGGACATGAGCGGCTTGCGGGCTGTATGTGGCCCTCGGGCCACACTTTGCCCAGGTCTGGTGTAATGTATAGCAGTCCATACATCCGCATTTCTCAGTATCCACTGATTCTCTGTGGATACTGAGATACTGAGAACTGCTGAATAGCTCGGTGGTTGAGGTCTTTGGTTGCAGAGCCCAAGGTTGGGAGTTTGATTCCCCCACTGGGCCTCCTTGACAGGGGCTGGACTGGATGACCCCACAGGGTCCCCTTCCAGCTCTATAGTTCTAAATATTTTCCCCCCTACATCCTTCATTTCTAGTTACTCAGGGCAGCTTCTAACCTGTCACAGACAATCAGCAGAGCCCAGTTTTCGTTCAGGAACAAGGTGAGCTTGTTCTGCCTTTCCCTGTCTTAATTACGTGTGCCCTTAAATCAGCAGGGATTGGTTGATGGGAACGAAGGGGTTGCCCCGTACCGTGAAAGAAAGAAAAATAAAAAGATGCCAAACATCTCAAGAACAAAGAGAGATTGCCATGCTGGGTCAAAAGAGAAATCTTTCTTGCTTATCAAGAACCCTGACAAGAATGTACTGTGCTTTTCCAGCACTGAAAATACTGCCTGTTAAATTAGTTTGCTCGGAAGCTGGGCTTCACCTGCCATAAATGTGCTTTTTTTTTTCTCTTCCCGACTCCAGCTTCTCTTAACACGGCAAGTCGTAATCATGACCCAAGCGCGGGAAAAGTCACTAATTTCCCAACTACAACTCCCATTACCCCCTAGCCTGTACCTGTTGATGGAAGCCCAGGGGGATGCTGGCACCTAACAGCCACCGTTCCCCTCATCCCCTGAGTCAAAGCTCAGAAAAAGTCTCTTTTTTTGAATAGTTACTCCCAGTCAGGGATTATAGGACATTAAGGGAATTTTGGCATATATATACTCCAAAAGTTAATTTTTCCCCAAACTCTGATTCTGCCTTGATTTCAAGCCTGTTTTAAACAGAGCTGGACCAAGTTGTTGCTGTTGTTATTATTGTTGTTACTATTATTAGTTTTATTTATATGGCGCATTTCTCCCAACGAGGGACCCAAAGCGGCTCACAGCATTAAAATTCACACCATTAAAAACACAATAAGTTAAATATTAAAAGGCAAATTAAACAACATATAATTTAAAATAAAATTAAATAGTTACAAAACTGTTAGTGTAACTATAACTCCCAAGAATCTTGGATATATATTCTGGACAATGAACTTTTCTGAGCTCTGGCCTAGGGAATAAACAGAATACCAGTGGCAGCAAGGTTTTAGAGCTGAATGTATGTCTTTTTCTTTCGAAACTAACACTGCCCATCCTACCTCGGGGAATTCTTAGTGCGGCCGCCCCAAAAAAGTTACTTTCCTAAGTTATGCTTGTAAGGCAGGGATGGGGTTAGGGTTTGGGTCCCTCTTCCATAGGGGGCCGGGTTGGCCCCCTCCTTGCTGTCCTTCTGCAAGCCAACGAAGACCTTTCTCTTCTCGGAAACTTTCCCTGAGTGGCTAGCTTTCTCAACAGCAGGGGGCTTTTATAAACCGAGCTGTTGCATCTTTTCATTTAAAAAATATAGCTTTCAATTGCTTTTAATGTACTAGTTTTTATATGATCGTTTTTACAGGATACTGTTTTCCTTTTTTAAAAAAATATTGCAGTCATTTTATTCTAGCTTTAAGTATTTCCTGTTTTAATATTGTAAGCCGGCTTGGGTCCTTTTGAGGAGAAAGGGGGCATACAAAAACTGGATGGATGGGTGGATGGGTGGGTGGGTGGATGGATGGATTGATGGATGGATGGATGGATGGATGGATGAGTCAATTGATGGATGGATGGTCAAGTGGCTGGGTTGCCCCTTCCATCTAGGCTGGTGGGCTCAATGATGGGCTCAAGCTACAGAAAGCCATATTTAGGCTGGATATCAGGGAAAACTTCTTTACTGTTAGAGCCGTACGACAGTGGAACCCATGACCTCGAGAGGTAGTGAGCGCTCCAATGCTGGAGGCCTTCAAGAGAAATGTAGACAATTGCTTGGCAGATCTGCTTGGATTTGGATTCCTGCCTTGAGCTGGGAATTGGACAAGATGGACTTAGAGGCCCCTTCCAATCCCATGATTCTGTGATTCTATGACCAATGGGGATTCGACCCTCATGCAGCGATTTCTCCACATGGACCTTGTGGGGTAGATGAGAATGGGAGAGAGCGCCTTGTGGAGGGAAGCCCTCCTGTGGGTTTCTTGACAGAGTGAAGACTTAGGTGGGGTCATGCATAAATCCCGGTTCAATATTCCAGCCACCCTGCCTCATGGACTCTGGCGATATGAGCTAGAAGTGCCTGATAAGGCTAAAAAGAAACCACTGTCTTCTTATTCCCTTCCTGGCACCCATTAAATCTTTTGCGGGAAGGAATTCTCCCGGATCCTTTCATGACAACAAACAGCAAACCCACGATTTGAAGAAAATTACTTTGACGTGAAAAGCAGCGACTAGAGAGAACGATTTCCCCACCCACCCCTTTGAATGTTGAACAGGCCGCTCACGAAAGGGGGAAAAGTGGGGGAGAAAATGTCTTTTCTAAGCAAAGTGGCTGGAACTGAAAATTGTGGGACGAAACTGTGAGAAAGGAGCTTTGCTGAGTGGTGCCATACCGTGCGCCACAAAGGCAGCCGTGTGTGGGGGTGAGGAATGGTGTGTTAGACCCACACTGATCCAGATTCCTGTGACATCTGAAAGACTACAATGAGTTGCTTTGGCCCCATGCTTTCCGTGGCCCGCAGGCCCTCTGTGTTGGGAATAACTATGCCAGATTCATTTGTTTGTTGGTTGGTTCATTCTTTAAAATATTTAAATATTGCTTTTTAATGATGCAAACTACCTGGGGTCCTTTTTTAAGAGGAAGGCGGGGTAAACATATTTTAAATATATGAGCAAAATGGGGCCTGGAAAGCACACCCAGGGAGTTGGGAAGAGGGAATAAATCTTCATAAGCCTCAGAAATATACAGGTTTCCAAGAGATTAATCTTGTTTTAGAACGGCTGAGATGGAAAGGACCCTGTGGGAGGCCCAGTGGGGGAATCGAACTCCCAACGTCTGGCTCCACAGCCAGAGGCCTAAACTAGGGAGCCATCCCGCCTTCAAGAGGCATTCTTCAGCCTTGCAAAATCAATATTTTCCCCAGGAGATGTAAGCTCAATGAATGTTGTATCTGACCTTAAACAGGAGATGTTCTGAACGGGCCAAAATCTTTGTCTGCTTCTAATTCCTCCTTTTCTTCCCAGGGGTTTGGCACGGAAAGATCGGAACGGAGCTTCCGATCCCTTCGTCCGAGTCCGCTATAATGGCAAGACCCAGGAAACCTCGGTAAGTCTTGGGATTTCAAGAAAGGACATACGGTAGACCAGAGACACGTCCCTCCAGGGTCCCAGATGTGGCGCTGTGGTCAATGCCCAGCATGCCACACGGCCATGGCTTCGTGAATGAAACGAGGTCTTGCCTGGATCATCTCTGGCATGATGGGATTGAGTCTCCCTCCCCCAGGAGGTGGCCTACCCTATAGTTACAGAGAACAAACTTATGCTCAATGTGGCGCTGTGGTCAATGCCCAGCATGCATTGGCTTCGTGAATCAAACAAGGTCTTGCTTGGATCATCTCTGGCGTGATGGGATTGAGTCTCCCTCCCCCAGGAAGTGGCCTACCCTATGGTTACAGAGAACAAACTTATGCTCCAAAGGAGAACAATGACAGAATGTACAGTGACTTAAAGTTTGGATCACACTCGAAAAGGTCTCTTCGCTGGGTGCCATCTCCTTTAAAACAATCTTTCTGTAAACAAGCGTTCCTGTTCCAAACTCAATAGCTCGCATCCGAAAAAAGTGTGGTAGCCCTGACACTTGACCCCCCCCAAAAAATAAAATCCAGTTAGGCACAGTGCAGGGGCGATCTGTTTCGGGATCTCTTGCACGTTGTCTGGATGCAGGAAAAATGATTAGCCCAGTTGTAGTGAAATAAATCACACCCTCGTTCAGTTTTTGTGGATGGCATTCTGTTCCCTCCAGGGCTTGTAGTCTGTGAATCGGAAACAAAGCCCATTGGGTTTGTTTGACACGCAATCATCTTTCTTAATTTTTGCTACAACGAACAGGCCTGCAAAAGGTTCTCTGTGATCATTCTTGCCTGGGCAGAATGAAAGGGAGGTCTCAGCGAGTGACCGGATTTGAAGCGTGCCATCAGTTGATGGGGGGGGGAGATGCAGATGCCCGAAAGGGTGCAGGGTGGATTGAGCATGCAACGTGGCTACAGAAGGCTGGGCATCTTTGGGGTGGAAACAAATAAGAACAGCGTGGAGGGTTGTGAAGTCCCTCTAAAGAGGAGCGCTCCATGCTGCAGCTTTTTGTTGCAGATACCTCTGAAGTAGGAAGGTGACCTCCCAAAGCTTTTGGCTTTAGTGAGTAGTGGATGGGTCTTTCTCTTCTCTTTTCTGAGTGAGAAATCTTGCAAGAAATCGTATAGGATTTCTCTAAAGGGGGCAGGAGAAACACTGAGTTGCGCAGGATTACTACAATTCCTACACAGAATGGCATGAAAGGACATTCGGTTACAAGGGATTTAGCAGTTTCTTGTGCAGAAATTGGGGGGGGGAACAAAGCATGGAATGTATCAGGGTTTCCTTTTTTGCACAAAGCCAGGAAACCTCCCTGCGTCAGGGGAACATCTCAGTGGGAAATCTCATCATGATGAGATTCGGGAAACTGCCAAAGACGAGAAATACGTCAAGTACTCGTCACCTCCTTATTATGGCTGGATGTGGAATATATTCTAAGCGGAGTAGTACACAAGAACACACACACACACACACCCGGGGTTGATCCAGCTGAGAGTCTACATTCTTCCTGGTGTATTTTGTATTAGCGTCTAGGTGGCTAAAGGTTGCCTGGCTCTTCCCTTTCTCCAGGTCATCAAAAAATCATGCTACCCGAGGTGGAATGAGATGTTTGAGTTTGACCTGGAGGAGTCAACTGCCGAGAAGCTCTGTGTCGTTGAAGTCTGGGATTGGGACCTTGTTAGTAGGAACGATTTTCTAGGGAAGGTGAGTAGAAAAAAAGGGGGAGGGAGAGAAGCCATATGGGTGCTGAAGGATGGGGTCAGTCTGTTGGGGAAAAAACGCAATATTCTGCTGTATTTATTTTTGGATTCTGTGCACATTTCCTCTGTTTACAGCAGGACCCCGTATCCGCAGGGGATTGGTTCTGAGCCCCACCCGCAGATGCTGAAAAACGTGGATTATGCCAAATGCTGTTTTAATAGTAAACACTATATATAGCATGGTCTGTCGCTCCCTCTACTGGCCAGTTTGTGTAACTTCACCTTTAGAAATAGATATATTTCTAATATTTTTCTTTTAATAGTTTTAATATTTTCAGACCGTGGATAAGTGAATCAGTGGATACCCATGGATAAGGGGTTTCTACTGTATATAGAAATCCCAGTTTTAATGGGTGGAGAAATAACTGGGAGTTGTAACTGCTTTGTCCCTTGTTGTGACTGACAAATGGGAGTTAGCATGACTGTAATACCTTGCTTAGTGCTCAGGAGGCATTCCAAGAAAATGGAAAATGGAGTGTTAACCAAATCAGCACTAAACAGGACCATTTCCCCCCCACAATTTTTAATTTTTAACAAAAGGGGTGACAGAAAGGAAAAGGGGAATTGGAATTGATGGGGGAGAAGAGAAGCAATAACATACTAACATCCATTCTATACCTATTGACATATCAAAATTTCAAATTATTCTATTTACTCGTTTCTGCCTTCTAGGTTTAAGTTCTCATTTCAATATATGGTATTCATACACTGCCTGTTAATTCAGTCCACTTGTTGAATAGATCCCATCTTTCTGTTGCCTTTTGTATAGGACAGTCCTCCTTTACTTCTGATAAAATGTCCATTTCCGCTATTTCCCATATCTTTTCAATAAGATCTTCTTGTTTTGGTACCGTCTCCAGTGACTCCAGTTCATGGAAATGAAGAATCCATGCCAGCTTTTACTCTGAAGCATAGAGGAGCTATTCAGCCCTATTTAGGAAAGAGGACTCCGGTGATTGGACGGCTTTGGTAAAATGTTAAGAGTAAAACCCGGAATGGATTCACTGCCCCTGTGAACTTGAGTCACCAAGTACTCTAAAGGACTGTCTGGATCTTCCCTGTCTCCAAACCCAGAATTTTCTTGTTCCCCAAACTGGGGATAAATAGGATATGCAAAGAGAATAATAAGAGCACCCCCATTCTCTCTCAGGTGGTGTTCAATGTCCAAGGGCTAGAGAGCGCTCAGCGAGAGGAAGGGTGGTTTCTGCTGCACCCGGACAAATCTAAGCCGAGAGCGGACACGTGAGTCTCTGTATTTCATAGCAGAGAGGCACCTAATACAGTAGTTGGGACATTAGCAGTATCCACTCCATAGTACTAGCATGTTTTCTCAGATTATTGAAGTTTTGAGTTCAAAAGGCCTTGGTGTATTTTGGGGCATGTTCCTACCCCACTTTACTCCATCCAGTTTGAGATGGCTAAGTTCTTTTTCACCTTCTCTGCTCATATCAACCCTGCAAGGTATGGGAGGCCGAGAACGTGTAGGAGACTCAAGAGAACCCAGTAAATTTTAAAGCTCAGAGCAGCGTGGAACCTAGATTTATCCATGCCAAGACTGTGACCCAGGAAGGAGCAAATTTCCATAGAATGGAAAAACGTGAAGGCTCATATCCACATCCTCCCTGTACTTCTGAACGAAACATTGACCAGGATCCTATTGGGGATTTAGACCAGCGGAAGCGTAATTGTGTCAACTGGTGAATTATTGCATATTCATTGGCCGTTGTGCACATTCCTGGTTGTATGCCAAACTGTACAGCTGACACAAGACCAGGACTGCGAACGGCAGCTTGCTCATTAGTGGCAATCGGCTGCTGCAACTTGTGCGCTCATGTTTTTGCTGCAATTTGCACCATGCCGTTTATACGTTTTTGAATTACTGGCTTACAGCCCAAGTTTAATGCCAGCTTTGTCTGAGAAAAGAGTTCAAGAAACCTTGAAAGCTTTTATGTAATTTTTAAAATGATTGAATGAAGGTATTGCCCAACCTCTGATTTTTTTCTCTTTATGAATGGATCACACAGCCATTTTCTGTACAGCGTTGTTCCTGAAGATCGTGACAGTCCTTCCTCTGGTTTGTCCCTTGAAAATTCTTCTGGATTGCCCATCCTTTATGGACACACTCACTTTGTTAGTGCAGCAGAGAAACCAAAACGTGTTAAGTGAAATGACACAGCAGCAAACTGCTGGTAGCATTCCTGGCTGTGCTCGGCTGGGTGCCAGGAATTCAAACAAGGCCTTCTTCATTGTTGCAACTAAGCACTATGTCACTTAGGAAAATAAATCAGCCACTGGATTCTGGCCAGTCAAATGTTTGTTTTCTGGCTTATTCATGTTGGAGAAGGTATAATCCAGTCACAGGTCACCCTCAGTGCTGGGGGAGGACGGAGGGGGAGAGTCTTTTCATTTTGTTTCATACAGTGGCTCCTCTTCGGAATCTTATGCTTCTTTCTCTTTCCCTGAAACTTCTGTTTCAGAGGCAACCTGGGCTCTTTACACCTCCAGGTCCAGCTTCGGGATGAGACGGTGCTTCCTTCTAGCTATTACCAGCCTCTTACTCAGTTGTTGTGCCGGGAAGTAAAAGCAGGAACAAAGGTGAATTTGAATTGTCCTGCTTGAAGGGGTGTTTTGCATATAGTCCTAGGCCCATGGAGTGCTCCCAATTCAACAATGAGGCCCCCACTTCTCTCCATTTCATCTGCATCCTTTGAGACGGGTCAAGTTGAGGGTCAGATTAGGGAGTCCGTTTGTCACAGGGCTTTCTTTTGCAGAGTGCTCCCCCTAGTGGTAAAATGAGCCTAGTTCCCCTAATGTGTTGCTTGTGCACCATGCATACATCTTACTTTGTCTTGCGATTGGTCCCTGGAAGGCCAAGGGGGGCTTAATTTGCAAGTCCGGTTGCCGATGCCTGTGAGTCTGAAGGAATCCCACTATGGGAGGGGGAACATTAATTGCAGAGAATATGCATCCCCTTAATGTCAGGTTTGTTTCTGAGACCGTGTGACTCTTTCCAAGATCCTCATAGGCAGGGTGAGTGGAGCTCACAACTCAGTGGGAACTGAAACCAAAGTCTTGGCCCCATAGTCTAATCACAATGCCACACAGGCTGTGACCCACCTCGCCGGTTGTTCTGGTGATAGTAACGAAAGGGAGTTAACGGGTGCTGGTTTTGACCCCTCGGAGGGTGGGAACTGAAACCAAAGTCTTGGCCCCACACACTAATCACAATGCTGTGACCCACCTCTCCGGTTGTTCTGGTGATAGTAACGAAAAGGAGTTAATGCATGCTGGTTTTGACCCCTCGGAGATTGACAAACAAAATGGGTTTGCTACATTTTTTTGTCTCAAAGAAGAGACACAAAGATTTGTATGGAAAACATACCATTTCTTGAAATTGATGTGTGTTCAAAACTTTGTTTCTTTTGCAACGGCCTCCTTTGATCTCCCAACAGGAAGAAAGAGTGCATTTAATCACCTTGATGGATGAGACGACGACTGCGGAATGTAGGCAGGAAGTGGCCGTCAACCTGGTCAAGCTCTTCCTGGGTCAAGGGTTAGCCAAAGAGTTCCTTGACCTCCTCTTCAAGCTAGAACTGGACAAAACCTGTAAGGACGAAGAGCATGATTCTTTTGGGGGGGGCGGGAGGGGGCGAGGGAGAACAGGGAAATAACCGAAGAGACACAAGGTCAATTCTTTATGGACTACAACTCCCAGAATTCCTCATGCTCGTTGGAGGAATTTGGGTAGTGGTCAGGCAGAAAACATGATGTTCGTAGGCTGTGAAACAAGAGCTTTGTTTGTGATGCAATGTGATTGGGTTGGGATGCTCTGTGTGTGTGTGTGTGTGTATGTGTGTGTGAAAAGGAGGAAGTTTTTGTGTGTGTGTGTGTGTGTGTGAAAAGGAGGAAGTTTAATTAGCAAGCTGTCATTCACATTACCTGGTGATATCCCTGTTGTATGATCAGAAAATAAAAAAAATGTTACTTTTTTTAGACCATGATATCTGTCTTCCACTGCTCGTGGGGTAACTTCCGTGAGGACCTGCCCCTTTCTGACTGTTACCTCTGTCTTCCCTTTGTTTTCTCGTTACCTTTGTCTTCTCTTTACCTTTGTCTTCGTGAGCGATGAAGAAAAGGCTGTTTTCAAAATATTCTGGCCGAATATTTACCAGCTTCCTCGCCAAGATTCTGGAGAAAGTTTATTTTCTTTGCTCTGCTGTCTCCTGGTATTTCCTCAGAAATGACAACACAGACTTTCAGACAGCAAACAATAACTGATGCGTAGGCCAAATAAATGCGCAAATGATTCCATTGAACCGTTAACGAGAAGTTCCTTCCTCTCTTTCAGGTGAGCCAAATACTCTGTTTCGGAGCAACTCTTTGGCTTCAAAGTCAATGGAATCCTTTCTCAAGGTATTCTATTTGTCTGTCTGTCTCTGTCTCTGTCTCTGTCTCTGTCTCTGTCTGTCTGTCTG